AAACCGACCCTATGTCGATGCTATTCTGATGCTAAATTAGCGTCGATTTAGCATCGAATTATTGCATCGACATATATCGATGCTAATTTAGCGTCGAATTAGCATCTAATTTTTGCTTCGACGCTAAATTAGTGTCGAATTAGCGTCGACGGTTTAGCGTCGAAATGTGTTTCGACGCTAAATCGACGCTAGTGGCTTTTAGCGTCGATTTAGCGTCGAAATATGACGATGCTAAATCTGTGTGTTTCTTGTAGTGTTTACTTCAATTCCACTTTATTTTTTAATTTGAGATACAGTGGAATAATGGAATAATGAATTTGATTACTTCAAATATGAGTACATAATTTTATTTTTACCTTACTATTCCAAATCTGGAGTAATCAAAACCCTAGAAAATATCGATTCAATAGGTTCGTTAAACAAGCTAGATGATTAACGATTAATCAAAAATAGAGAAACTTTTAGAAATGCAATTTTTAAAGTGTCACTTTTCAAAAATGCCAACTTTTATAAATCTTTGCAAAAAATATTATTTTTTCAAAACTATTTATTCATTATATTATTTATGTTTGGGTTAACTATATTGTATTAAGGTTTAGTTTTGAGGGTTTAGGATTTGTTAGGGATCAAAATATTATTTAGGGTTTAGAATTTTAAGATTTAGATTTTAAAAATCCATAATTAGTGGTATTTTTGCAAATGGACAACCCATTGTGATATTTTTGAAAAGTAATATTTTTGCAATTGTCCCAAAATATAATGTATTAAAAGAGATTCCTTTTTTGAGTTTTGCTTAAAAGAAACAAACCAAATTAAGAAAGCAATCTAAAAGAAAGTAGACGGAAAAAGAGCATACGGAAAAAATAATATTTTTTTCTTCCTTCTATTTTTATCTAGGATAAGAATATTATAGTAATTTTGACTTTTACTTTCACTACTTACTAAATTTATAAAAAACACATGTTATTCTACTAATCTTGCCTCTCAAATCTATTGGTGCAAATGGTAACAGCTGAATCTGACTGAATTGCGGAATGTGGTTGAATTTTGGGTGATTTTTTTCGGAATCTGACGGAAAAACTTTAGATTCAAATGGTAACAGCTGAATTTGGCTGAATTTCAGAATTGTTGAAAAATATTTTTTTATGAAGCTTATAAAATATTAATTAAACAAAATTTTTCAAATTTAAAATTGTTTTATGTTTATAAATGTATTATTTACATAAAGTAACTTTTTATTAAAATGTATGTTCTAAACCTAGCTTATTTCATCAGTATATATATTTTTCTTATATTCTGTTTAGCAAAATTTACAACTATTTTGTTACTATTTACCACTAAATTGAATAAAAACTTTCAAAAATTATTTATTTATAAGATTACCATTGAAAACTATTTTTTTTGGATTCACGTATGTCTTGATTTTCTCGTAATACATTTATAATTTGGAAGAAACATAATATTGAGCTGCATGTTCATTTAATATTGTAATTATAGCTAATTTATAATAAATAATATTTTTTTTCAATTATTCTACAAACTTAATAAAAATACCAATGAACACTTTTATTGTTTATTAATACTTTATTAAACAACAAGCTATCAAAATACAAAATATATATGAAGTGTGTAGTTTGCTTCATTATGCTATTTTTGTCTTTTAGTAAATTTCTTCCACAACATTCTACAATATCAAATGGTGTACAACTTAAAAAACTAAGTTAGATTCTTTTCCATTCTACAAATAAACAACCACCAGGTAGACTATTTCCAATGAGGTTTCTTGATAGAAATTCACTATTTAAAATAGTAGAAAAAAAGCAAAAAATAAGAAAGAGAGGAAGAATAGTTTATTCATCAAGAAACTCTTAAGAAATTTATTTGAGATTTGTCACTTCTCAATTGGTCATAATTTTATTTAATAAAATTACATTAAAATAATAATATGTTCCTCAACCATTGTGAAGTCTTAGTTAACTTAAAAAAGTATGACTTAGTGTCTCGGTTGTGGTGCATGTACTAAGGTTATGGTCTTATGGATACTTAATATACTTACTTTTTTGTTTAGTGTTGATTCTCAAATGCTTTAGATTGGGAAATTGAGTTTATGTTCCAAAGACTTGCTCATATCATATTTTCTCTACTTACCTTTCTGCTAATTTCGAGGTAGTTGCTAACATATTTTCACAATGTACTACTAGTAGCTCTAACGTGGGAACTCGAAAAATGGACACCAAGTTCATACATTAAATTTTAGACAAATCTGGAGCAGGAACATAAGCTTGACAAACCTATATAGGAATAAGCTTAGTAATGGGTCATCAACCATCATAAGTGTAGATATGTACTAAAAGACCACCTTCTTTGATACATTGTCTCATGATGTTTGATATTGGTGTGCCCTCCCATGATACTTGAGATCCTTATGCAAGTTTGATTATAACAATCACTAGCCACAAGTAAAGATTAGCCATTGTGACTTGTAAGCTAGATGTTTAAGAATTTGTGTAGCCATAAGTCCTCTTGAACCAATGTTGCAAGCAATGAGCTCGACATCCATCTTGGGTAAAGAAAGATGTAACGTATTTCTGATAAATTGATAAGAGCAAGAACACAAAGATGTTTAGAAAGAATTATATTTGACTCTCATGAGAATAAAGTTACAAGTTACATTGGTTTATATAGCGAATAGACTAGTCTTAATTTCCTAAACTAAGATAAATATAAATGAAAACAATATCTTTACATAAGGCATATTATCCATCAAATAGTAATCACTTCTTTGATACATAAGGAATAATCCCGTGTCATCGATCATTATAGATTTTGAAGAATCTACTTAACGTTTTAGATTAGTCGATAATGAATGTTCTTTCCACAAGCCTTGACTTGTAGCGAGTTACCCAGCCAACAATACAACAAATATCCAATCGAATCCAAATCATCGCATACATTGCAGTACAATTTAATTAAGAGTGTCTTGCAGCATAACCAAATTATCATCATTTCACTAAAAACCTTTTAACGAAGTAAATCTCTTTCACAAAACAGCATATATTAAAAGTTGAAATCGACTTGGTAGCAACTTTTACAAAACAATCGCTTTGACGAGTAGCGACTTACCAAGCCAACAACATAACAAATATTCAACCAGATGCATATCATAGCATAAAATATGGAGTGTATGCATAATAACGAGATCATTAGCATCGTCTCCCACTTTAGTTAATACCTTTGATCAAGTAAATCCCTTTCACATAAACAGCCTGTATTGAAAATTGAGATCGACTTGGTATGCATATCACAAGCTAGCTAATCAAATTCTTTCAACATTTTTGCTATATACTCCAGTGACTAAATAATCGAACCAAACATTGACGTAATGATATAGCTAGGGAAGGAAATTCACATTGCATATTTACAAGAATTAAAAAAAAAAAGAGGGTGGAAGCAAATGCATACATAGAACATGGGATTTGGTAAAGTAAGAAAGAAAAAAATCACCAATTACAACTGAAATTAAGAAGAAGAAAAAAATCACTATAAAAATGTAATCCGAGTAATAATATATGTATTTCACAAATTTTTAACTGGGCCAAGCTAAAATCAATTATGGCCCAAGACTTAAATGGAGATCCAGCCCAATACCATTCTCTAACTTGAGTCCACTACTACGATCATTCTCTCCGGCGAACCTCCTCCTCTCCGACAAAGATCCACCGTGAGCCCTAAATTCTCCGGCCATAGACTCCATACCGCCTCCGTAAAGGCTTCTTCCACCGTGAAAGTACATGGGGCCGTTCTGTGACGATACGTGTTCACCGTAGAGCCACTTAGAAGACGAGGAAGAAGGAGAGAGCATCATATGCGGCGGAGAGAGGAGGTGAGGCAACGGCGCAAAGGCGGAGAGAAGCGGATTCGTGTGAGGGTTGAAGTTTTGATGACGTGGCAGGCCACGAGTGGCTAGCATCTGTGCACGTTTTAGAAGTTGACGCTCTTTCTTGTGTGCGTTTTGGTGACCACCAAGAGCTTGAGAGTTTGCAAACTCCCTGCAACAGTATTGACATTCGTATTTCCTTGACTCGGATCCAGGTCCGGATCTTGGTTCAGGCGACTGGTTCGGATTCGACGTTGTTTCAAGAAGGTTTATGCCGAAGAGTTTCAAGGAAGATGTATCAGTGGCCATATATAT